GAAATCACACACACATGCCAACACATGCATGTATGTGTGTACACCAAATCAAGCCTAAAGTGAAAATATCAACATTGTACCAGTTAATAATATTTAATGCCTGTAAGGATGCATTTTATTGTCTCCATCTGATGAAAGAGAAGAGACTTGATTGTGGTGAAAATTACATGAATTTACACATATGATGATGAGAAAGAGAATTCTACACACCCATTATGCCAGTGTCAGTGTACTGTGCTTGAAGTGGTATATAGTTGCGTAAAGAGTAAGGTAAACTATCAGGATCTGTTGGGGCCCAGCTCCTTCTATTCCCCCCATTGGAGCTTCCTGGGCCTGCTCTGCTAGTAGTGGAAGTGTCCTGGCAGGACGAATCACCCAGAGTCTGGCCACACCTCAGTCTTGCCCCCCCCCCGCCCTCAGCCCTCTGATTGAGCTTGAATGAAGAGAATACCAGGAGAGGCCGTATCATCCAGAGTTGCCGACACTGAAGTCTTGGCCCACTGGGAAACGAGAGGAGAGGGAGAGACCTCCTGCACCCACTTAAAGAAGGGATGGGAAGATGACAGTATACGAACACACTCAAAACAGAAAGATCATTATGACACTACCAGAATCTTGGGACCCTACAGCAGGGAGACCTTAACATTCCAATGTAGATGAAGCAGAAGAGAAGGACCTTAAAAACAACTTCATTGAGGCCGAAATCAATAAAGTAGAAACAAAGAAAACAATACAAAGGATCAATGAAACAAGGAGTTGGTTGTTTGAGAAAATCAGCAAGATAGACAAACCATTATCCAAACTAACCAAAAAGCAGAGAGAGAGCATGCTAATTAACAAAATCAGAAATAAAAAGGACAATGAACACTGAGGAAATCCAGAGAATCATTAGGTCATACCTTGAAAACCTGTACTCCACAAAATTCAAAAATTTAAAGGAAATGGACAATTTTCTGGACAAATGCCACTTACCAAAATTAAATCAAGAACTGATAAGCAATTTAAATAGACCTATAACCCCTAAAGAAATAGAAGCAGTCTTCAAAATCTCCCAGCCAAATAAAGTCCAGGGCCAGTGAAGAATTCTAAAAGAAATTCAAAGAAGATCTAATACCAGTACTCCTCAAACTGTTCCACACAATAGAAGCAGAAGGGACATTGCCAAACTCTTTTTATTAGGCTACAATTGTCCCGGTACCCAAGCCACACAAGAACATAACTAAGAAAGAGAACTACAGAACAATACCCCTCATGAATATTGATGCAAAATACTCAATGAAACACTGGCAAATCGAATCCAAGAACAAATCAGAAAAATCATCCACGATGATCAAGCAGGCTTCATCCCAGTTATGCAGGAATGGTTCAACATATGAAAATCCATTAATGTAATCCACCATATAAACAAACTGAGAAAAAAATCACATGATCATCTCACTGGATGCTGAAAAATCCTTTGACAGAATCCAACACCGCTTCATGATAAAAGTCTTGGAGAGATCAGGCATTATAGGAACATATCTAAAGAAAATAAAAGCAAAATACAGCAAACTAAATGGAAAGAAACTCAATGTGAATCCTCTAAAATCAAGAAGAAGACCAGGCTGTCCAGTCTCTCTATATCTCTTCAATACTCTACTCAAAGTTCTAGCCAGAGCAACAAGACAACAAAAGGAGATCAAGGGTGTAAAAAATGGAAAGGAAAAAGTCAAACATTCACTATTTGCAGACAATATGATTGTTTATATAAGTGACCTGAAAAACTCTATCAGGGAACTCCTACAGCTGATAAACACCTTCAGCAAAGTGGCAGGATACAAGATTAACTTAAAAAAAACAGTAACCCTATTAGATATAGATGATAAATGGTCTGAGAAAGAAATCAGAGAAATATTGCCCTTTACAATAGCCACAAACAACATAAAATATCTTGCAGTAACACTAAACAAACACGTGAAAGAGCTGTATCGCAAGAACTTTGAGTATTTAAAGAAAGAAATTAAAGAAGATACCAGAAAATGGAAACATCTCCCATATTCTTGGATAGGTAGGATCAACATAGTAAAAATGACAATCTTGCCAAAAGCAATCTGCAGATTCAATGCAATCCCCATCAAAATACCAGTACAATTCTTCACAGAGCTTGAAAGAACAATTCTCAACTTTATATGGAAAAGTAAAAAACCCAGAATAGCCAAAACAACCCTGTACAATAAAGGAACTTCCGGAAGCATCACCATTGCTGACTTCAAGCTCTATTATAGAGCTATAGCAATGAAAACAGCTTGGCATTGGCACAAAACCAGACAGGTAGACCAATGGAATCAAATTGAAAACCCTGAAATTAACCTACACACCTGTGAACACCTGATTTTTGACAAAGAAGCTAAAGTTATATGATGGAAAAAAGAAAGCATCTTCAACAAATGGTGCTGGCACAATGAGTCCAAATGGATCAAAAACCTCAAAATAAATCCAGCCACGCTTAACCTCTTAGAAGAGAAAGTAGGATTGGTGCAGGAGACGACTTCCTGAACGTAACAGCAGTAGCACAGACACTGAGATCAACAATATATGGGACCTCCTTAAACTGAGAAGCTTCTGTAAGGCAAAGGACACAGTCAACAAGACAAAATGGCAGCCTACAGGATGGGAAAGGACATTCACCTACCCCACATCTGACAGAGGATTGATTTCCAAAATACACAATGATCTCAAGAAGCTAGCCATAAAACAATTAAAAAATGAGATACAGAACTAAATAGAGAATTCTCAATAGGGGAATCTAAAATGGCTGAAAAACACTTCAACATCCTTAGCCATCAGGGAAATGCAACTCAAAACTCTGAAATTCCATCTTATTCCAGTAAGAATAACTAAAATAAAAACACCAATGACAGTCTATGCTGGAGGGGATGGGGAGAAAGAGTAACACTCCTGCATTGCTAGTGGGAGTGCAAACTTGTATGACCACTTTGGAAATCAGTATGGTGATTTTTCAGAAAAATGGGAATCCATCCACCTCAAGACCCAGCAATTCCACTCTTGTGCATATACCCAAAGAATGCATATTTATACAACAAGGACATATTTTCAACTATGTTCATAGCAGCATTGTTTGTAATAGCCAGAACCTGGAAGCAACCTAGATGCCCTTCAACTGAAGAATGGATGGAGAAAATGTGGTACATTTACACAATGGATTATTACTCAGTGGAAAAAAAAATGAAATCTTGAAATTCGCAGGCAAGTGGATGGAACTGGAAGAAAACATCCCAAGAGGCATCCCAATCACAGAAAGACAGGCATGGTATGTACTCACTCATATATGGATATTAGACACAGAGCAAAGGACTACCAGCCTACAATCCACATCACCAGAGAAACTAGGAAACAAGGAGGACCCCAAGAGAAAAATTCATGGTTCCCCGAAGAAGGGTCAAGGGACCAAAATGGGAGCACGTAGAGTGGAGAAGTGAGAGGTAGGAAAATAGAAGGGGAGAAGAGGAGGGGTGAGAACAAGAGGGATCAGGAAGACAAAGTCATGGGAGGAATAGATGAGGGCAAGAAAGGAGATGCCTTGATAGAGGGAGCCAGTATCTGTATAGAGAGAGGTCTGGCACTAGGGAAATGTCCAGGAATACACAGGGATGACCACAACTAAGAATCGAGGCAGTAGTGGAGAGGCTGTCTTTGATGCCCTTTCCCTACAATGAAATTGATGACTACCTTGGTTGTCATCCTTGACCCTTCATGCAGTAACGAATCGAAGCAGAAGCAGGCACCTAAAGCTAAGCACTGAGACATACTCCTGGAATCTGGTTGTAGAGAGGGAGGAGAGATGAGCAAATGAGCCAAGATGGTGCTGAAGAAACCCACAAAACAGTTGACCTGACCTAGTGAGAGCTCTGAGATCCCAGTTTTGAAGCCGGGCAACCAGCATTGGGCCGAACCAAGCCTTCTGAATGTGGGTGCCAGCTAGGAGGCCTGGGCAGTCTCTGGGACCTCTAACAGTGGAGCCAGTGTTTCTCCGTAGTGCACAAACGGACTTTAGGAGCCCATTCCCTATGAAGGGAATCTTTTGCAGCCCAGATACACGAAAGAGAGCCTAGTCCCTCCTCCAAAGATATGACAGTCTTTGAAGATTACTCATGGAAGGCCTTACTATCCTTGGGGAGTGAGTGGGGGTTGGTGGGGGGTATGTGAGGATGGGAGGAAGAGGGAACTGGGATTGATTTGTCAGATAAAATTTTTTCTAAAAGAAAAAAGAAACATTAATAAAAAAGCATTCTGGCAAAAAAGTAAGGTAAACTATCATGGGAATGAATTAGATGAAGGATGCTCGATATGATCTCATTCTTCCGTATCTATAATAGTCTAGTGAAGCATAACTATAATGAACCTTAATCATTAAAAAAAGAAGTAAAAATGGCCTAGTAACATGGAATAACAGAGAATCTGAAGGACAGAAAACAGTGAAAACCAGTTTAACTTCTTACCTCTCAGGATCCTCTGACCAAATGGGCTGAGAACCTGTCTTTGCCCTACCTTGTCACTTCCTGTCTCCAACTCCCAAGTGCTGGGATTAAAGGCTTGAACTACCACCACCTATCTTCTATGGCTAAGTAACAGCTACCTCGTTCCACTGATCTCCAGGCAAGCTTGTCACAACAGAAAGAAAATATTGGAAGCCAGCTTTGAAACAAAAATTGCGTGCGTGTGCGCACACACACATACACACACACCTCCACTAGACCTAGTGCTCATTCTGCCCTCCAGTCAATAAAATGGAATGGAGGACGTTTTGAGAACAGCAACAAAGGAAGGAAGGAAAAGCTTAAACCTGAGGAGGGGAACAGGGTAGCTCGTCTATGGTAACAGCAGCATGGGGAGTATAGAACCATGGCTATGTAATTGCCCTTGCCGAGGAGCATCTCTCCCCAGAATGTCCCAGGAAGGATGCCAAAACTACTAAGGAAAAGAATGCAACATTTCTGGAATAGGTTTAAGTCTCAACATGTGATGGTGTTATTGTCACCAGGCTGGACGTTGTTACTCCTCCTGACCAATCTGCCAAAAAGATTTCACCCCGGGCATCAGTTGGTGATGTTGACATTCACGATCCTGTAGGCTGTGATTGTCTTCAAAGGAGGGTATTAAGGACAGAGTTATTCTGTTCATTCGTGGAAAAGTCTCTTAAATATTCTTTTGCCGTTCGGTTTGCAACTCATGGTGTCATTTTCTATTTTTTGTGTTCTTTCTTGCATAAGAGGGGGCTGTGTGGTACATGGGTTGAGTGTCAAGTTACCGAGGTCTAGTGTCAGCTTTTCTAAGGAGAGTGTATGAGAGGTTGCTTCTGTCCTTGTCCCTGCAGACATCCCAGATGTGTTTCCCACATATTTCTGGCAGTAGTGGCATTCACATTTGAACATCTTCTGATCTGCGTTTTGAGAGGAAGAGGGGTTCCTTTTCCTGTAACTTTGGTGAGGCAAGAGAAACCTGACATGTTTCTTTCTCTTGATTTCAGCTATCTTTGCTTTCTTTTGGGGTGGTCTTGAACTCTCAGGCTGCTGCTCTTCTTCCATCCTTTCAAAGAAGGAAAGCACATATTAGAAACACAAGGGTCAATTGAAAACAGCTCCTGCTGCTCACACTCCTGGAGCACCTACAAACACACGCATATACACATCTCAGGAGGAGCCCCTGATGGTTTCAGCAATGGAAATCTTGGTTTCTAACTGGTTTATACAGCTATTTTGTTTTGTTTTGTTTATGGGTACCGAAATATCCAGAAGCAAACCGTGTGCTCTTTGCATCTGAAATACGGGTTTTAGCCCAGTTTTCCTTGTACTTGATTATGTGAGACATTGGGAATCCAGGACAGAATTCCTTCAAGTGGAGGCACAGATCACTATTACTCAATGTAAGACATTGGTGTCTTCTAAAGAGATGTTTCACAAATAGCCTCTTCTTTAACCTTTCCTTTAAGCTCTTATTCACTGGAATAATGTGATTAATGGCAGTCATTTCTCAGAGGATATCTTTGAGGTTCCAGGCTCTACAAACACAGTGCCTGCTAATAGTAGTACTTAAGGCCCTAAAAAGAGTGCTACAGTCACAGTCCCATTTGCTTGCATAGAAGAACAGAACAGACCAAAATGACTCCCCTAATCCAACTCCAAAGGACCCCTGTCTCCATCAACCACAGCCATATTAACCAGAGTGGGATAAATGTACTAGATTCCTGGGTATGGTATATATGGTCTATGTAACCCATAGCTCAGAACATACTTGGTTCACTCACACACCTTATTGAGACAATTAGAATACCAGAACCTAAGCATAAAGCTACTGGGAACAGATTGAGGTTGACCAGCGATGTCACATGACTTGTAATTTTTAGCAGTACAGGTCAGATCATGGAGAGCACAAAATGCCTTGGTGAGAACAGTAACAAAGACACAGGTCATCTTCCACCTTCCAGAACTGTCCATGCAGCTAGTAGCTACAACATTTCTGGGGACAGAACTGGGGGAGGAGATGGTCAGAGTGGGGTGAATTCAACACATGCATGTGCTATAACAGTTTAGATATGTATAATTCCTAGCTATGGATGTATTTGTGGGGACATATTTGGGATACAGGCATGAATGTGTTGATGCATGGGAGAAAAGCTGAGGACATGTTAGCAGGGGAAGGTTTGGCTATCAAGTTCTTTTACTTCTCTGAACTGTTTACCACCTGTATTAAAGAGTAATACAACCTATGATTCTTGGGTAGAGGGCCTATGAGTGATAGCACAGGGGTTGTGCACTAAAGGAATTATTGGAAACAACAGCAGTTTCCCTATGAAACCAAGGAAATAACTGGCTTATCATATGAAGATTTGTGGACAAAGATGCTTATGTTAATTTTCCCAGACACACACACACACACACACACACACACACACACACACACACAGAGAGAGAGAGAGAGAGAGAGAGAGAGAGACAGACAGACAGACAGACAGACAGACGGACAGACAGAAAGGGGGCAGGACAAATGAAGGCAAAGGCCACACGCAGAACATTGTTGAATAAATTAGATAGGCTTCCCACCAGGATATGAAAATCAGTCTGATTATTTTGGAGACAGTTATGGAGCCTTCTTGAAACCTTTACAGATTGTCATATATGCAAAAAGGGAACTATAAAATGATTTATTCTTTGGTTAATATACACTAATAGAAATTGAAAAATACAAAGCTGCTTTTGATGGGTGACTGGACCTGCTCTCCTCCAAGTGGGCTCTCAGGATATCAAATGTAGCCAGTGATGTTTGACTCCTGAATAAAATGGAGGATGACAACAACAAGCTTCATCTCCTCTGACTCCTAATACCTACTACATGCTGCTTGGAGGGTCATTGGCAACCTTTTCCCACATACCCTCTGCTCCCGGAATGGAGCAAAGCATTAGGCCTCCACTCACAGAGTGACCAGGTTTTCCAGATTCCGTGTACCCTCTTTCCTCATATTCCACAGTTTCTGTCTTAGATTGCAACCACTTCTAGAGTAGCTGTCTTCCCAACAAGTCCATGTCTTCCCCTGCCTAGCACAGTGTTTGAATGTCCTGCCACAGGCTATAATACTCTCTTACCTCTCATATAATTATTCTTCCTGTTTTTACTCTTCCTCCACACACATTTACACTCTGATCCCTCATTGTTTACCACTATGATCTCTCTCTATGTACAACTATCTGCACGGGTAGGATCTCAGTGAGGATGGCACTGAACACTCCATGCTGGGCCAGAGCTTGGCATGGAGGTACACATTTAATCTCAGTACTCTGGAGGCAGAGTCAGGTAGAACTGAGTTCCAGCCTAGCATGGTCTCAAGAGTGAGATCCAGGACATCCAGGCCTATGTAGACAAAATACCATGTCTCAAAAACAAAAGAAAGCAAATCCAGGACAACAACAAAAGTTATGGCATGATAACCATCAGGGTGTAGTATTGACAGGCATGTGTACCTTGGGTATAAAAACTGGTTTCTATTTAGATTTAGGACCCACACAAAAGTGAGACATCATGCCTGGTACCAGACAGCTAGTCAAGTATCCATAGCCTGGTGAAGTCATGAATCTTGGAGGAGATTCTGCAGCTCACTAAGCCACCATAATCCCCGAATATAGTCTAAATATTTTCCCTTATACACACAGATAAATGTAGTCCTCAACCATCACAAAGGAAACTTCACTTTGTAACATAAAGAGATCAATACAGAAAACTACCACCAGTCAAAATGCAGAGTTGTGAAGAAGATCCAAACAGATACATCTACAACAAAACTCCTGCAGCCGAGGCTCAGGGATCATTGTGGAAGAGGGCATAGAAAGATTGTAAGAGCCAGAAGAACAGGGGAGTTTGCTGTGAGCCTGTGTCTCCTAGGGAAGTCAGAAGCTACACCAGCATGACTGCATAAATATGAGATGAACAAGGATGACCCTAAAAGACATGCCAACATGGACAGGGTTGAGGAGTGGGGGCAGCAGGCATGAAGTCTAATAGAAGTACAGAAAACTAAGGGATACTGAGACCGGGGATTAGTAGGTAATACCAAATGCTTAGTATTGAAAATATAAACATACAAGTAACATTAAACAGATTGCACAGGTTGTATTTATTAATTTAGGAATATGTATACATATATGAATACAACAATGATTCACAGAAAAGGAGACAATTTGAAAGAGAACAAGGAAGATGATATGGCAGGTCTTGGGGGTTAACAAGGGGAAATGAAACGATGAAATATTGATCGCAAAGAACCTTAAGTGAATGTCCACCAATCATCATTGGCAACACCCAACCTCCAATCCCCATCCCCATCCACATTTGCTTTCCTTACAGCAAAATTCTGCCTCATACTGCACTGCAAATCACAGCATGTTGACTCATTAACTTCAGTTTTTACTTTGGTAAACCAAAGTACAAGATAAACTCTACAAGTGTGGGCATTTTCAACAGTGCCCTTGATAATGTCCAAGTCTTAGACCCCTTCTTACCATATGTCCAGCTTCTAGGCTACTTCCTGTCACATAGTTGGCCCCTAGTAAATGTAGCTGGATAAATAAGTGTCTGACATGGAGAAAGGCCCCCTAAATTACAGCATTTGTCACTATTGCTCTCCCATCTATGTTGGGTGAGGCTGTAGAGCAGAGAATCAGTGAAGGATCAGAACTGTCTGATGAACCACAGAGGGAAAGCAGGGCTTTGATGGTTTCACCACTAGCCATTTAGTTGTGCAGATGATAGTCCTGGAAGTTATTTTCCACTGAGTAGTTGTTTCTAAGTCTCCAGAGAGGTGCCCTGTAAGTAGTCACCATCTACCCCACAGTCTTGGAAAGAAGCCTTTCTGTAGATAACAGGAGTTGAGTCCCCTTGTATCCTCCCCCAGAGCACATGGTCAAGGCTCAAGCTCACCTTTTCAGTGCTTCAAATTCCCTGTTGCAATACTAGCACCAGAGCTAATACTCTGTGAATCTGCAACTACATCTCTCCTGACTACTAAGGAACACCTGAGAACAATGTGCAAGCCTGCTGCAACTGGCCACCGATCTGCACTACATATTAGAGATCATGCTGACAAGGGACATGAATGTTCAGCTGGAAACAGAGAAAATCCTGAGGATACAGAGTCTTTCACAAGGATGGCACTGACTGGAACCTTGGTAGGAACAGTTCTGGAGCATGTTAACTTTCCATTCCATGTTTCTGATGGAAACAACTACATTCATAAGGGAACCAGCATAGGACTGAACCTGAACTTAGGTGACAGAGTCTTGGGCAGTCTATGGGACTTCTTACAGTGCAACCAGTATTTATTAATAGTGCTTGAATGGAACCTGGGAGCCCATTCCTCCATGGAGGGATACTTTCTCAGCCTAAATATATGGGCTGACAGATTTGGTGATCCCCCATGGAAGGCCTCTCTCTTTCTCTGGGGAGTGGATAGGGTGTGGAACGAGGGGGAAGAAGTGGTCCATGGGGGGCATGGGAGGATGGGAGGGAGAGGGAACTGGGATTAATATGTAAAATAAGATTGTTTCTAATTTAAGTAAAAAGAAAAAAAAGAGTAGAATCATTTCCTTTTAAATTTCCCTCCTTTTGAAAATAGATTCTTTTCTCACAAAATATATCCTGATTATGGTTTGTTCCCCTCTGTCAACTCCTCCCAGTTCCTCCACACCTCCCCTCTCATCCAGATCCACTCTCTTTCTGCTCTCAATATAAAGGAACAGACTCTAAGAGACAATATTAAAATGTAACAAGTACAATAAGGTAAAACAAATACTGTCACATCAAAGAACAGCATTGCCAACAGAATTAGGGCACCTAACAGTGTCATATAAACAATGGCTCCATGGAAATCAATGTGTTCAAAAGACATTCCAACTATCTGTATAGAAAGAAGATAGGCCCATTCCTAAATTCACCCTGTGGTGCCCCAACAAGGCCATTGGTGGAAGTGTGTGAAGCATGCAGGTAGGAGAACTGGTGAAGGAGTCTGAGATGTCAGCAGGTGGGGACAAACCGGGATC